TGTGTGTGAGATGCGTATGTTGCGTGTATGTGTGCGTGTGTGCGCGCGCGCGCGCGCGCGCGCGTGTGTGTGTGTGTGTGTGTGTGAGTGTATGTTTCAATGTGTGTGTAAATTTGTGTGTTAATGTGTGTTTCCTTGTGCATGTGTGTACTTTGTATGTGTGTTAACGTGTGCGTGCGTAGATAGTCATGTTGATGTGTGTGCGTGTTTGTATGCGTTAATTTATGTTTTAATGTGTCTGTGTGATCATTTGTCTATGACAACAACAACAACAAAAACAACAACAATAACAACAATAACAACAAAAACAACAGTTCCGATCACGTGACTCTCTCCCAGAGTACAGTTTCGCCCCCACGCCCAGCCTGACGTTCCGAACAATCGGAGGAATCCTCGACTTTTACATCTTCCTGGGACCCAGTCCGGAGCTAGTGGTGCAGCAGTATACAGCGGTGAGTGTACTCACACACACACACACGCCCATATACGAACATACACACACACACACACACACACACACACACACACACACACACTCACGCATGCACGCACGCACGCACATACATACACTCAAATTATGACGAACATGATAGTTGTCATTACCGTACATGTACATTTGCAGTGTTTCATCATTAAAAGCATGCATTATCTAATTGTCTGGCAGTCTTTCAATTTTAGTTAGAGCGCTTCGAGGATACTTCATGACTGTCAATACTCTATTCAATGAAATATAAACTTTCTTTTTTCCCTTTCTTTATTTGTGTCGCTGGTTACAGTTGATTGGCCGTCCCATGATGCCGCCATATTGGTCTCTGGGCTTCCAGCAATGTCGGTATGGCTACAACAACATTGAGAACCTGAGAGAGGCCGTGGAGACAACCAAGGCTTACGACATTCCTCATGTAAGGAAGAGAGAGAGAGAGAGAGAGAGAGAGAGAGAGAGAGAGATAGAGGGGGGGAGAGAGGGATTTCTATTTTCTCTGCCTTTGCCCGTCTCCCCCACCATTACGTATCCACCAATCTCACCATCCATCTCCTGCATCCGTACTCTAACCTTCAACCAAACCTCTATCCCCCAAATCATGCACACATTGTCATACACTCCTTTTCTCCTTCTTTTTTTCAGATGTTACTCTCTCGTAGCAACACCTCTGACCTTCGGTACTTTTAATATGACCTATTTGTGTTGCAAGTACCATAAAACTCTTACTAAAACTAAAACAAAGACACATACACTAACCCCAATAACAACACACCCCCTACCCCTCTCCTGAACACATATTATAACCAACACCCTCCCACCCCCACCCCACCTTACAGGATGTCCAGTACGTAGACATTGACCACATGGATACCCGGAAAATCTTCACTGTTGACAACGCCAGTTACCCAGATCTGGACGGTTACTTCAAGTCTCTGCAGGCGGAGGGGATGAGGATCATATACATCCTAGTGAGTTCATGAGAGAGAGAGAGAGAGAGAGAGAGAGAGAGAGAGAGAGAGAGAGAGAAGAAGGGA